GCCACATAACTTGGCAATCTGATATTTCCACAGTGTATAGCAATGCAATGTTTAAGGAAGTGGAAGTCCCCCCACCCTCCATATTTAAACAGACTTGATTCTTTGGGGAATGCAGTTTGTGCATTTTTAGTCGTTGAATTTGGCTATTTGTAACTCTGAGTAGCCAAAATTGCTTTAACAAGAAAAACAGACCTCTGGTCCTTTGTCAAAGTTTAACATCACTAAAAGGATTTTAGGGAACTCTCCTGAGATGAATTACTGAAAGGGTGATTCTTATGAGGTCAGTTGGCATAAATGTGTCATCTCTATACTTTATGAGGTTTTTAAAAATAAGGGGATACCAAAAATTCTTCTAAATTCACAGGATTTTAAAAGCTTTAATATTTTAATTTTCAAGAAAGCACAGGTAATATTCATAATTTATATCCCAAGTAGCATTTTTGACTTGCCAATTTTCTGTTAATGTCTACTCCCATTTTTTTTTTTGGCTAGGCAATTGGGGTTAAGTGATTTGCCCAAGATCATACAGCCAGTAAGTGTCAAGTGTTTGGTCTGAGGCTGGATTTGAACTCGGGTCCTCATGATTCCAGGGCAGGTGCTTTATCCTCTGTGCCACCTAGCTGTCCCTATTTCCAAATTTTTAACCAAAATTTCTATAGTCTAACAAGCACCTCACATCTCTACCAGAATATGATGGGCAAAAATGGTACCATATACCATTTTATGATCAGATTTGGAGGCTAGAGTGGTGTATGTGATGCATTTTCCATTTAGATTAAAAAACCGAAGAAAGACAAATGAAATTTTGCTGCTACTTAAATATCTTTTGTGCTCCAGATATTTTAGACTTTAATGCTTGAGATTAGAAGCATTTGCTTTAGAAATCTGCTGCTTTACTCATAAACCATTTCTGTCTCGGTGGTTTTTTATTCTTCTTCTTGTTCCTCTAGTCTCTCCTTTCGTCCATCTACTCCACGTTAGTGTCATGTTCTCCAATACTGCTAGAACTGTGGGATTTTCAACAGCAATATTCCAATATTCATAAGCAATTTGTATTGAGAAAGAGGTGGTAGTTGGAAAGGATGGAGAAATCTTAGAACGCACAAGCTTTCAGCAGGATCACCAAGTATGCTTTTATTTATTTAAAGAGAACAGCTAGAACAAGAGTAGAGAAATAGGATCGATTTGTGAAGCCATTCCCAGTCAATTCTTACATCATTTTCTATTTTGTATTCAAGTTTCTGAGTGTTTCGCCTCCAAGCCAACAGCATAAACAATGGATCATAGGATCATAGGTTTAAACCTGGAAGAAACTTTGAGGAACTTGGTCATTTTTGTAGTTCCCCTGGGGAATTTGATGAGCCCAGTTATTTCTAAGTATGTACTCCTACCAAGGAGTTTTGTTTGGGCTGAAACCCTTGAGAGTCTTTCCAACACATTTTTTCAAGAATTAAGGGAAATTTAAATATTGACCCTTATGTCATTTTGTGGTCAGATTTGGAGGGAAGGTTTGTATACATGATGCATTTTCCATTTTAGACTAGAAAACCAAGGAAAATGTAAATGAAATTTTGGTTCTACTTGGATAGCTTTGGGCTCCAGCTACCTCAGACTTTAATGTTTAAAATGAGAACCATTGGTTTTAGAAGACTTGTTACTTGAGTTTGATTTTTTTTGGGGGGGGTCATAGTTATATGGTCAGGTTATATTATCACTTTAACCCAACACTTTTTCAGTATTATAGGTCTTTGGTTTAAACATATGCACAGAGTGATTTTTAAAGTAACAGTGGAGATGTTCTTTATGATTTAAATAGGGACAAATGCCATGCACTGGGGCATAGATATCATGAGTTGAACCTCTTAAAAATAAGATCTGTGACAAGCCACAATCCAGCAGCCCTGACTTACTCTTCCTCAAACATCCATCTTTGGTTTCAGAGCCAGTACACCGGCTGTCTCCCATTCCTGGAATTCCCTCCCTCCCCATCTCTTCTTCCTTCCCTTTTTGGCTTCCTTTAAGACTCAGATCAAATTCCCCTTCTTTCTGAAGGAGGATTTCCCAGTCCTTTTCCAGCTGCTTTTCTTTCCCTAATAAATTTTACTTCTGACTTTATTTTATCTTTATCCTCTATTTTCCTTTTACCTGCTACCTTGTGCTCCTATTACTTAACCTACCCCCCTCTAAAGATCCCTTCCTTATCTTCTCCCCCTCTTTTCCCTTACCCTCTTGTTTCTATCTGACTTTAAAAGACTTTTATAGCCCTTTATTCCATTCCTATTAATCTAGACATCCTTCTATAACTTCCCTTATCCTATTTCCTCACTCTCTTATTTCTTTATAACTTTATTTCATTATATACCTCTTTAACCCAGATCTAAAAATCTCTCCCTTGTCCCCTCTCCACTCCCTATCCTCTTAGCCTTTAATTTCTTTCTGAATTTAGAAGACTTTTATACCCTTCTCTCTCTCTTTCTCTTTCTCTCTCTCTATGTATATATTATATTATATATATTATATACACATGTATGCATGTGTGTATCATTCTCTCTTTAACCCATTTCTTTTGTTCTCTGCTGTGCACTTTTTACTTTGTTCTTTTTCCCTCCCCCCTACCTGACTTCAAGAAGGCTACAATTAAATGTGGCTATATTTATATTTATTTATACACACACATATATACACAAACTTATACATACATATACATATGCATACATCCACTTATGTGCACATACATATTCTTAGATCTGTTCTCCAGATCATTTGTTTTTCTGATGAGATGTTTTACATTCTCTTATATTTTTTATTTCTTATTATTTTATTTTTTCCTGATTTTATTATTTCTTGATTTCTTATAACTTCTCTGGCTTCTCCTTGCCCAATTCTAATTTTCAAAGAGTCATTTTCTTCCTTAAAATTCTGGAATTCCTTTTCCAGTTGGTTGACTTTCTTTTCATAATATTCTAGTTTTTCTTGGATTGTTTTTATTAAAAAAAAAAAAGTTCCTCAATCTCTCTTATTTGATTTTTAAAGTCTTTTTAAAGTTCTTCTATGAATTCTTTTTGGGCAGGTGACCATTTGATGTTACTCCTCGGGGTAGAAGAGGCTCTTAATATCATCCTCTGAAGATGAATCCTGGTCTTCTCTATTCCCACAATAACTTTCTATAGTTGGGTTCTTTCTCCTTTGCCTACTTTTTCTTTTTTTAATTTGTAGCAGCTCATTGTAATTACTTCTTGTTCTGGGGTATTTTTCTTCAGATCTTTTCTGGTTGTCCCAGGACAACTGTTAATGCCCCAACTCTTGTTTATTTTTTACCACTCTACATTTTTCCCAAAGCACTATTTTGTCTTGTTTGTGGGTAAAATCTGGAGAGCTTGGAATTTTCTGACCAACTCTGCCATCTTTCCAGAATCCTCTGTTTTATTATTACTTTTTTTTTAAACAAGATCTGTGATATTCTTTCTGAGAGAAACTTTGGTTGAGAAACTAATTTTCCCAGTGCAGATCTGTATTTGCTTGGGGGACACTGAGAAGTTAAATGACTTATGCAGGTTCTCACAGTAAATATGTGTAAGAGATAAGACATGGCTAAGTCTTCCTGATTGTGAGCCCAGTTCTCTATCCACTATACCATTCTGGTTGGTGTGTGTGTGTGTGTGTGTGTGTGTGTGACAGAGAGACAAAGACAAAGACACAATTATTGTCTGAATAAAGTGAGAAAACATGGAAAAGAGAAGGGAATTAGCATTTATGTAGTACCTAATGCATGCCAGGTACCATGCTAAAGCACTTTAAATGTCCTATCTCATTTGGTCCTCATAGTAATCCTGTGAAGTAGGTATGGTTATTATCCTCATTTACAATTGAGGAAACTGGAGCATACACAGGTTAAGTGACTTGTTCAGGGTCACAGAGCTAGTAAGTGTTTGAGGCCAACTTTGAACTCAGGTCTTCATGACTTCAGGTCCACTGCTCTATCTATTGTGTCAACTTGGTTCAGCAACTTAATATCTCAATTTTGTATATATTTCCCTGTATCTTTGATTTTTGGTGAAATCAGAAAGAAGTTCCATCTTTCTGGCTGCTTTATTCTGCCTAAACCTCTAGCTTCTTTCTCTCTGTGAATGTTGTTCTCTTAAACCTTCCTGATTCTCTTATTCTGCTATCTCTATTCTGGCCACATTCCTCCATTCACAGTCTTTAGTTAACCAGATGAGGTAGTTAGCCAGTTCCACAAGGTACAGTTTTCTACACTTCGGTCTCCTGATTTTAGGCTATTCGTACCATACCCTATCAACTTTGCTACCTTCCAGATGCTGAATATTTAGCCTGAGGAGCTCATGAGACTAGGAATATTAAAACTACATGTTATCTAACCTCATCTGAGCTCTCCCTACTGCATGGTAATCCATTGATTCATCTCTGACAGAGGAGCATGCTTCTCACAGCAGCTATTCCAGACCTTTTATTTTTATTTTTTTCTGGCAGATCCACTTACTCCTAAAAGGTTTTGAATGTGGCCCAGCCACTGTTTTTTCAAGGATCAGCCTAGATAATTGTGGTTAGGTTTATTCCTTGGACAGCAGGCTATGGACTCCTTTGTCCAGGGTACTTCAGGAAGGAAAAAAAAATAAAACCCAAAACAAAAAATTTTCTACTAAGAACCAGAAAGATTTGTGACTTGCATTGTGGGAGGAAGAAATACATACATTGATAGGATCACGGACTTTTGAAGTAATCCTTGGTTTCAGATGTGATAGGATACAAAGAGTATTTAATAGAATCCACAGAATTTGTGTGATATAAAATTTGTTCAATGTGCTTTGGGACATATTTTCCTTTATACAGGGTGTCCTCAAAGTCTTAGTGCTATTAAAGCTTAAAAAATTTTTTGGGACATCCTATAGAATATCAAAATTCCAAAAGGTGATCCTCACTCAGTTCCTAAAGCTAAGATAGGATGAGGGGTATTAACTTTCTTTTTCCCTTTTCCATAGCTATGACATCATCTTTGCTGGAGGCCCTGAAGAACTATTGAGGAAGTTCCAAAAGATCAACCATAAAGTGGTCTTTTCAGCAGATGGAATATTATGGCCAGATAAAAGGCTGGCAGACAAGTATCCCATTGTCCACATTGGAAAACGCTTCCTCAACTCAGGAGGTAGGTGGCAGTAATTCAATTTCAATCATAAAGACTCATGAAAAATAAAAATTCAGGTACCGTAGACATGTAACTTGATTCTGTATATGAGAACAGGGGGAATACGAGAAACTAGGTTGAAATTATTTTCTCAATTAGAAGAAAAAAGACAGTTTGAAGCACCTTTGGTAATAGAAAGGACATGGATCATGAGTCGAAAGATCTGTGTTTGAACCTTTGTTGTGGCAATACTTAGCAGTAGCGAGGCAGTTGATGTTGGTGCCTTATTTCTCTCTTATGTAAAAGCCATTTGAGCGGATGATCTCAAAGTCCCTAACAAACAGACTTCTTATGAGTAACTAAATTGCATAAGTACTGTTTTGCAATTCTAAATCTAACTATGATTTATTTCATAAAAAGGTTAGTATTATTGAGGAAGTTTTATCTTTGTCGTCAAATTTAGGATTTCCTTATTCCTTCCATCCCTCCTTCCCTTCCTCCATTAGTCCTCTTATTCTCTTTTCTACCTTTCTTCCTTCTTTCCTTTTTTTTAAATAATCATTTGCCTTTGTAAATTAACCAAGATTTTTCAAAAAAAATGTCCTTAATGTTTCTTTTAATTTCTCCTCACTGCTTTTCACTTTTCCTTCAGTACGAGATATTTTTATTTTCATGATGTTGCTACCCTGTTACTTGGCATGACTTTCAATTCCTGATAGTCATTTCAGGAGGAAGTTTTGGTTGTAGCTGGGAAGCTGGTTTATATGTGAGAAACAGGGTAAGGGTAAACTAGCCCCTTTTTGGATGCAGATGTTTTAACATTTGTATAAAATAATTTGTTCTAATCATGTAATTTGAGGAAATTTGATACATTTAAGTAGAAGTGAGGAAATATTGGAGATATAAATTGAAGAATATGGTAACAGTTTAGTTGATTGTCTTTTATATAGAGGGATTGCTTGGTGACATCTCTGTGGCTTTAATGATACTTTGCTTGGAAGCTTACGGTTATGGACAATTGGTTGGCAGGAATTGTAGGGAGCTCTCCCTTTGTTATAGAAATGGGCACAAATGTTCCAAGTAAATGTTGAATGGACTGCCTCAAGAGCTGTGTGGGTTTCACCCACCTTGAAAGTCTTCAAACAAAGGCTGGATATCTACATGTTGGATATGTGATAGTGGAACAGATGGACGCTAGATCCCTTTTAGACCTTAAATTGTCACTCATCATGACTGTAACTGCAAGTCAGTGGAAGAGGGATACATTTTTGAAAACAGCAAAATAAGGAAAAAAGTTTGTCAGGAAAAGGATGCAGGAGACATTTTATGAAGGCATCAACTTGGTAATATGCTCCATGGCCAAAAAGCCAAAGGAATGTTGGCCTCACCTATAAATACTGGAAACAATTTGGAAAAAGACTTTCTGTCCTGTTATTTCAATGACTGGTCAGAGGAACAGAAAGTAGTTGTTGTTCCATGAGCTATGTCAAGTTTATAAGATCATGCTTCCTAGTAAAAGACACAGCTGGTTCTTCTTTTTTCTTCCTTTTCCTTTTTGCTGTGTTTTCTCAAAGGAAGGGAAAGTGTCTTAGAATTCTTCCCTCTGCTTTCTTGCATTTTGATGAATACATCTTCCTACTGAGGAAAAATAAGGGAAGCCTCATTATCTTACTTCACAGAAACAAACCTAGTCTCCATTTGTAACTGTCTGGAGCTTTGTTTCATAGCCTCAGAAGAGGATTTGAACCATGGTGAGGGATGATTCTGGCATTGGTTTCTTTTATAGACAAATGTTACTGGCAGGTACTGTGTTTTTGCCATTAAGGACAAGGAGAGCAGGCCAACTTCAGACTTCCCTTCTTGAGTCTGGATGCAGTAAATGGAGCCAAAGCAGGAGTTAGCAGCCACAGGAACAGTGAGATCAAGTATAGGAAAAAAAAAACACCAATGTCTCAGACATAAACCTCTGGCAGAATGTTCAAAGCCAGTCATCGATCCAACATTCCTTTTACTGATGTGAACATCTTTGGCATCAGTCTGCTAGTGTTTCTTCCTTTCTGAAACATTGAATCCTTTGCAGAAAGGGAAGCAAGGAGAGACTTTTTTAAACAACAAAATAAAAACTTTTTAGAAAAAAAACCCCAAACTCAATTGGTCTTAGTCTGATTCTATCAGATTTCAGTCACTGGTATTAATTTAGGGAATATACTTGTCCAATAGCATGGCATATTGGAAAGATACTGGCTCTTGAATCAGGGGATTTGAATTTAAATCCTACCCCTGACACTAGCTGTGTGATGTGAACAAATCACTTAATCTTAGTTTTTGGTTGTGTAAAATGACAGGGGCAGGGGAGAGGGATGTGTACTAGATGGCTGTGAGGTCACTTCCAGACCAAATCTATGATTCTATGATAGGTAAAGAGAGAGGTGGCCTAGTGGATAGAGAGATGACTTTAGACTCAGAATAACATAAGTTCGGGTCTTGACTCATGACACATACTGTCTGTGTGATTCTGAAAAAAAGTTACTTAACTTCTCAGGGTCTAAGATTATTTAAATGACAGAGAGTTTCCTTTGAAACAATACCCTAAACAAATAAAGGTGCAGATCCAGAATTGCACATTCCCTTTCCTCTCCCTTCCCTCCACCAAAAAAAGGTAAAATTCCCCTCCCAGAAACTGGGAGGAATGTACAAAAGAATAGAAATTATTTAAAACAGTCTTCTAGGCTTATCCTGTTTGCCTGGTGCTGTGGATCATTTTTGTGCCATGAGTCTTAATACAGTGTTTTGGAATTGTTTGGTAAACTGTATGTAATGGACAGGTCTGACTTAGTGCAGTACCCTGTTCAGGTTTGATGTTGGCATAGGTAAATCCTTTAACAGTTAACTAAAGTAGCTTTAGTTAGCTATAGCATAGAAACATAGAAAAAGATACTCAATAAAGAACACTGCAGCACATAGTTTGAAAATCTAGGCTACCTCACCTCCCTTTGAAAGTGAGACTAATCAGCAGGGTAGGGTATGGTGACTCATGGGGTTTTGGGACATTTGTCAAGTTTGAAGAGCCCTGACTTTTTGTAATTGGGCCTTTTTATACTCTTTGGTGACCAGGGAGTCCAATCAAAATGACCAGAGGCAGCTAGGGAGACTCAGCCAATCAGATGTCAGGGACAACTTTGTGGCCTTTTTGGGAAAAAATACCCTGCCTTCTATTGTAGGAAAAGGGTGAACCCTGGTAGACAGTTGTGTTATCATATTACAAAAGTATTTTATTTAGCACATACTATGTTTGAAGCACTTTTCATTCTAATGGGGAATGGTGTCCAGAATGGTGTCTTAGTTTGAAAAGTCATAGTGATGGTTACCGGATACATAACAGATGAGACTAACGCACTGTTTCTTGTAGCAGTAGTACCATTGATTTCATTATATTTTCATATTTGAAAGTATGAATTCAAGGGGGGGCAGTGAGAAACTGTCTGGAGTATGAAGTGAAAGCATGGCTGGGTCTGCCAAATATAATGCTGGCCGTAGAAGGCATTGGCCAATCAGGACAGTGTGGGTCCCAGGACAGGGGTTTCAGAGACAAAAGCTTAGACTTGTTCTAAGATCATCTTGTCTTTCCCATTGCAGGATTTGTTGGATACGCACCCTATATAAACCGCATTGTTCAGCAATGGAACCTTCAAGATAATGATGATGACCAACTGTTTTACACTAAAATTTATATTGACCCACTGAAAAGGGTAAGTAATGACCTATGCTTTGCTGTCAGTTACAGATACTGTAGTCTTTCCTCCCCCCCCCCCGCCTTAGGACATTTTCTTTAATAGTTGAAAAGGTATCACTCTTTTTATTTTAATAGTTTGGAAGTCTATTGATACCATGGTGACTAACCTTCCTTAGGAAATAATTCAAAAGTATTCTGTCACTGCAAATGTATTTAATAAGAAATGAGTTACGGATTAGCAAGAAGGCAAGTAATTAAAAGTGATGGACCTGTTTTCATGAAGGATAGCATGGTCTAGTGGCAAGAGGTCTAGGCCCCAGGTCCACCATTTACTAGTTGTGTGATCCTATTGGTGTTATTCAATAGCTTTGAATGTTATAGAAGCCCAAAGTCGGCAGGGATGTCAGAGGGATGTCAAATTTAGTCCATATTCAAGGAGAAATTCTCTTCACAACATCTTTCACAAATGGTTCTCCATTGTGTCACCTTTGGAACCAGCCAAATGGTGCTCTTCCACTTCCGGACAGCTCTTAACTGTTAAGACAGTTTTTCCTCATATAGAGCCAAAATGTGTGTCCCTGTAATTTCCACTCTTAGCTCTAGTTCTACTCTCTGGGCCAAGCCAAACAAGTCTAATTGTTCTTTCACATGATAGTCCTTAACATAGTTCAAGATTGTCATCATGTCCCTAGAAGACTTCTAGGTGCACATTAAACACCTTCACTTTCCATCAGTGTGTACACTAGAATTTCCAGTCCTTTCACTACCCTCAACACCCTTCTCTAGATATGACATACTTTGTCAGTGCTTTTCTGAAATCATGGTATCCAGAAGTGAATATTGTATTTGTTCGAACTAGGGAAGGCTCCAGTGGGAGCAGAAAGATCTCATTACTGCTCCTTGATTATTGTAGCCCATATCTTTTTTTTTGTTTTGTGACAGTTTGAGTATGTAGCCCACTAAAACCCAATGGCTTTTTCATATGAACTGGTAATTAGCTTTATCTCTCCTATCCTATGTTTGTACAGTTGATTTAAGGGTTTTTTCACTTTTTTTTGTCCCCAATTCCTCACCTCTTAAAGAAGGAAGAAAGCAGGGAAAATAATACTTGCATTATCTACCTCACTATAATTTGTGATTAGTATACATCATTATTAAATTTTGAATCAAAATATGTACATTTAGCTAAAACATAGATACCTATGTATTTGTATGCTGCAAGAGACAGAATAGTAGAGTGAACAGAAAGCTAGAAAGGAAGCCCTGCCTGGTTAAATCCATCTCTGCTAGCATTTATATAGCATTTTGAAGTTTTGCCAAATTTTTAACATATTTTATTTCTGTGGATGTGCCCAGTCTTTCCACATGACTATGTCTCTATCAGACTAAGTCTATGGCCACAGAGAAGTCACTTAACCTCACAGTGTCCTGGGCAGCATGAAGACTGTAGGTGAAAGAGGAGATGGATTTGTTGCTCTGTATTGGGAGATGGAGTTTCCACGGCAGAAGTTCCCTCCACTACTGAAATCAAAGCTCCAGGATGCCTCTTCCTCACAAAAGAAAAGTGTCATAGAAACAGAGTTTTGCTGAAAAACTAGTAGAATGGGTAGAAATCATGAGAACTCTACTACTTATTAACTTCAATGAGTGACTTTGCTAATAACTAGCTTCTTTACTCAAATTTTGCCAAGTATTATATTGACCTTCTGAAGCTCAATTATCTGATTTGTTCCTTAAAAGAAATGTGTTTTATAAAGCTAATGTGATAGCATCAACAATGTTATTATCTGTTAAAATATGTTTATTATTTCCATTCTTAGGAAGCTCTTAATATTACTTTGGATCACAAGTGCCGGATTTTTCAGACCCTCAATGGAGCTGTTGGTATGCTGATGAATTAGCTATTGAATGAGTATAAACACATTACTACTTTCTTCATTATTTTTAGGAAAGTGATGAGTTTAGAGTTAGTTAAGAACAGAGATTCTTAATCTGAAATTTGTAAACTTGATTGTGAAAATATTTTGATAACTATATTTCATTGTTTCTTTTGTAATCCTATCTATTTTATTTAATGCATCATTTAAAAACATTACTCTAAAATGAGGAGCGTAGGCTTCATCAGACTATCAAAGAGAAAAGGGAACAAAAAAATGTTGTCTTTAATGTTAAGATGCTTATTAGGCTAAGTTAGAGTCATGTTAACTCCTTTCAGTCGTTTAATAAGTGAGGTGTTTTTTTTTTTGTTGGTTTTTTTTTTTTTTTTTTTACCTGTATCCCACCATTCAGGAGTTGTTAACCTGAGATCCCTGAACTTTGTTTTTGAAAATTTTTTGGAAAACTGTATCAGTATATTGGTTTCCTTTGGAATCTTATGTGTTTTATCTTGTGCATTTAAAAACATTCTGAGAATAGATTCAGCAGATGGCCAAAGGAAACCAAAAAGCTTGAGAATTCCTGCCCGAGTGCCTTGCAGAATCAATCACAAGGGAATAATACATAAATGAACAGAACCAGACCTAACCTAGTCTGTAGTTATTAATACATTCAAACCTTTCTTCCCTCCCTCAGATGAAGTTCTTTTGAAATTTGAAAATGGAAAAGCTAGAGCGAAAAATACTTTTTATGAAACATTACCAGTGGTAATTAACGGAAATGGCCCAACTAAAGTGAGTATCTGTCACTTTTGCGTATGTATAACATGACTGGTTGGTAGGTTAGAGATTGATACGATGCCATTGAACAAAGCCTGTGTTTGTGGATGCTCTGGAGCCGACTGGCTTGAGTTTTACTGGTACAGAATCATTTGGCCCCTGTTTGTGTTTGCCGCAGTGATGCCTGCTTAATTTACATCCATGCTGGGCTTCTGCTTCCTGACGTCAAATTGTGATTTCGTATTTTCTCAAATAACAAGTAAATTATTATCACTCAGGCTGTAAGTACTCCCATTTTAAGAAGTGTCCAAAAAAGTTTTGAAAAATGTTAATGGGCCCATCCATAGCCTTTACCTAGAATTATATTTTGATAATGATTGATTCACAATACTAATTGTATGGTAAGAAGCAGTATGGTACAGTGAATATTAGGGCTAACTTTGTATCTAGAAAGCCCTGGGTTCAAGTTTTACCTTTGAGGTATGGTTGGTTGGTTGTTTTCTTTGTTCTCAAAGAGGACCAAAATGACATCATTATGTTAGAGTCAAGTTACAGTGTGTCTGATTGTGATTGATCAGACCAATATGAGCTCAGAGTGCTCTACCACAGGTCAGGCACAGATAGTCCTTGTGAACATTTGAGGTGCATTCTCTAAATTTGTACATCTCGCGTTTCTTTTGAGCTACTTCAATTCTGCTTTGCTTATAGAGCGCAGCATCTTTTTTGATTAAGGCACACCATGTTGGGCAGTCCTATGTCAGTGTCTCCCATATCACCCAATCAATTCCAAAGTTCTTAAGAGAAACCTTGAGAGGGTCCTTCTACCACTTCTGCCCACCATGTCAGCTTTTGCCCTGTGTGAGTTCTCCATAAAATAGTCTTTTAGGCAAGCTCTGTTTGGCATTTGGACAACTTGGCCAGCCCATTTTAGTTGTGCTCTCTACAGTAGAGTTTGAATGCTTGGCACCAATGGAGTGAAACAAGGCTGTGGCTTGGTCCCACACTTTTTTAGCGTGATGTTTTCAGTCATGTTGTCAAATGCTTTTAATGAGAATGAACACGGCCTCAAGGTCAGTTACCAACTGATGGTAAATTCTTCAGCCTTTGATATATAGTAGCCGTGGGCTCACAAGTAAATTACTTCACCTTTTAGTGCCTCTGGCAGTCTCTAAAATTACAAATGAGGTGCTGGTCTGCATTGGTGAAGGGTGTTTCCACCCTGGGAGTTCACACTGATTCAAATATAGATCTAGAGGAATATACACCACTCTCTCCTACTATCCCTATCCCCAACGAAAATTATATTTCTAAAACATGGTATATAAAAAGTTTACAAATACCAAAGTTAGCTCCAAGACCTCTTCTTGTATGGCCTCCTACTCTACTACATTCAGTAGGGAACCAGAGTCACCATAACTTTAGAGATGTCAAGGGCAAAGGTATGAGTCCCATAGTCAGCTGTGGAATCAGCTCATGGTACTGTTGGTGACTGAGCCTTGCCTTGCTTCCTTGAGGCACACAGACGTCATTCCGTTCTGTTTCTTCTGCTCCCCAAACCCTCATGTGAACCATTCCCGATTTCCTAAGCTCCTGTTGTTAAAACTCTTCACACCTGGCTCTAGCTCACTGCTCTGTGTTTAGTGTGCATAACTCACCTCCTCACACTGATTGTATGGTCCAGCCAAAATGGATGCTTGCTGTTCTTTCAGATGTGACTGTCTTTCTATCTCCCGGCTCATTGTCTTTGCACAAACTATCTTCCATGACAGAAATACCCTCCCTCCTCCCCTCAACTTCTGAGAATCTTGAGTTTCCTTCAAAGCTTAGCTCAAATATCACCTGCCTGAGGCCTTTCCTAATGCCCCAGGTATTAATGTCTCTCCCCCCAAACAAATTATGTTTATTGTATACATATACAAATGCATTTATACATGTATAGACACGCATGTGCACATATGCACATGTACATATGCACGCATGTATACGTGTGTATATGTACATGTACGTACACATACAGGTGTGTGTACATGTATGTGTATATACATATAGACATGCTTGTATTACCTATACATGAATGCATGCACATATATAACAATATATACACCTACATACATATACATACATACATATATATGTGTGCATACATATGCTTGTCTCACCAGATATAATAGAAGTTCCTCATTGGCAGGGACTATTGTTTTTGTTTTTATTTTTGGTTTGTTTGTTTTGACTTTATACATTTAGCACCTAGCATAGTACCTGGCATATATTATGTAATTAATAAATGCTTGTTGATTGTTACCATTAAACATCATTATATGGTTGTAGTTGTTCATCATGAGATGATGATTTGTTCCTCTAGGCACAAATTAGTTTTACACAGGGACCAGTTACAAAGGGGCTCAGATTCACATCCAGGTGCTGCTGTCTTTACTCTTTCATGATTGGTATCATTCTCTTATGAGCTGGGTGCTAGGAAGTTTCCATGTTACTCATAGCTGTTCAGCTGTGCCTACATGTGTAATGCTTCTCAAGCCTAGGACACTTTAATATTAATCTTACTATTAATAATAATAACAAACAACTCACATTTATATATCACTTTAAAAATTTCAGAGGCCGTTTCAGCAATGAGACTGACTAAAATCTTGAATTTGTTACAAGTGTTAACTTAGATCTGTTGGATTCCTAAAATTGTGTATCCTGTCAGGTGTATGTTTTGAGTTCTTAATATTTGAGGTTTCAAACTAATTTTTTTAACTCAGATGGGATAAGATGTATAGAGCTTTACAAACCTTAAAGCTCTATGTAAATGTTTATTATTATTAGTATTAGTGTATGACTCAGTTGATTAGTTGAAACTAAACTTACAAGCAGATATCCTTACACCATAGTTTCACAGGTTGCCGGGGCCAAAATATTTCATCACTTATTGGCAATGAGCTCCTCTGTATTTAGCTAGGCTGGTCTCAGCAGATTCCATCTGTTTCCAGGACCATGCTTGGTGACTTTCCAGTCTGATGGAACCTGCCAGAGCCTGCACTTCACTGGCATAGCACTTGATAAGACTGGGCCAGGGCCACCTCCACACATGCCATGACGAGGTGCTGGAATCAGACTTAGGTGAAGCTACTATAAGCATTTAATTGGAGTTGGTTGCAAGATTATAGAGCAAGAGGTGAAAGGGTCCTTGCAAATCTTCTAGTCCAAACCAGCCTTCTCATGTAACAGTTGAGGAAGAAGGGATAGGTGACTTGTCCAAGGTGTCAGAGGTTCTCTATACCATGATGCCTTTCAGTAGCAGACTGGTTAAAAAGATAACATTCAATTATCTTTGTAGGTCTTCACGAGGCAACCCCAAAGTCTTAGTGTGTTTTTTTAAATGCTTAAAAATGCACTAAGACTTTTTGGATGTTTTATCTTTTGTCCTCACAATTAAAGTCTAAGTACTTTGAGGGTCAAACTCTTTTTGCTTTATCCTTGCATATCCAGCATGCCGCACAGCAATCGATAAAGTCCTGTTGATTGATTACTTGATTCACCATGTGTTGCTACTTGCTGATGCATTATAGTATAATAATGCTCATCACTACTAAAAGTTTAAAATCATTGAGCTTCAAGCTGGGAGGATGTAGAGATGTCTAATTTTTAGCTTGAGAACAATTACACAAATAATATTAAGCATCTATAATAGTAAGGCACTTTAGGAGGTGTTGAGAATACAAAGACAAAAATGAAAATATTCAGACCCTCAGAGAGCTTACTTTCTGTTGAAGAGATGAAACACATGTAGAGATAAGTAAATACAGTTTTATCCAAATGAATGCCAGTCAGTCATTCAGATAGTAAACATTTAATAAGCACCTACTATCCAAAGAGAGGTAAAAGACAGTCCTTGCTTTTAAGGAGCTCAAAATTGAATGGGGGAGGCAACATGCAAACAGCTCCATCTAAGCAAGATGTACACAGGATTAATTGGAAATAATCAACACAGGGAAGGCATTAGAATTAAGAGGGATCAGGATAGGTTTCATAGGCGAGGTAATATTTTAGCTGGTACTTGAAGGAAGCCAGGGAAGCTAGGAGATAGAGATGACATGGGATAGCATTCCAGGCTTGGGAAGCAACCAATGAAAATGCCCAGAATCTAGAGTTGGAGTGTCTTGTTTGAGTAACAAAGAGTTCAATATGGTTAGATCAGAGTATGTGTGTGTATGGGGGAAGGGATAAGATATAAGAAGACTGGTGGGGGGGGCAAGGTGTGAAGGGTTTTGAACGCTAAATAGAGGATTTTATGTTTGATCCTGGAGGTGTTAGAGAGCCATTGGAGTTTATTAAGTAAGGAGGTGACATTGTCAGATGCGCACATTAGAAATATCCCTTTGATACCTGAGTATAGGAGGACTGGAATGGGGAGAGACTTATGCCATGGAGACCCAACTAGTGGATAACTGCAATTTTAAAAGGGGGGGGAGTACTAATGATTAGGGGATTGGGAAAGGCTTTATGTAGGAGATGACCCTTGAATTCTCCTTTGAAGGGCTTGAGGATTCTAAAAGGTTGAGGTGAGATGGGCATGCATACCAGATGTAGGGGGTAACCTGTGCAAAGAGTTAGAACACCTGGAAATAATAGTATGTATGTTGATGAGGCATATTAAGTGAATTGTATCAACAGATTCAGACTGTTAAATGATCCACGAATTCACTGAAGTGAGTTTCCCAATTTTTACGAGAAAGCTCATAATTAGCAGGTGGTTTAAAAGTCTTAAGGCAGCTTTCCAAAGTGCTTACTGTACTCTTAAGCCAAGATGGTGGAGTAAAAGCAGTGACTTGCTTGAGCTCTCCCCCAAATCCCTCCAAATACCTATAAAAATGACTCTAAACAAATTCTAAAGCAGCAGAACCCACAAAAAGACAGAGTGAAACAAATTTTCAGCCAAAGACAGCCTGGATGGTTGAATGGAAAGGTATATCGCACCAGGTGGGGAGGGGAGCACAGTTTGGTGTGGGCAT